GTATTTCTCTGTTATTGTAATCTTTATGTTCTATCCAGGATGTTCCTTTATAGCGAGCTTTACTTTGTATTTCTCTGTTATTGTAATCTTTATGTTCTATCCAGGATGTTCTTTTATAGCGAGCTTTACTTTGTATTTCTCTGTTATTGTAATCTTTGTTTCTTCTCTCTCTAGGCTGTTTTTTTTAGTTGTTTGAGTTCTATATTTTCCTTCCACATCTCAGGTTTTTGTGACAGTTACTTTAAACTGCTGAACTTGTAGAAGTAATATGATATATTTAGATGATCTGTTTGGAAGAGCTTAGAACACTAATGTTACATATGTCTGAATGAATAAGAATATCAGTGTAGTAATCTACCTTTACCTCTACATTACAGTACGTATAAATCTGTTTTATTACTAACCCTGATAACTGGTCTGTAGACAGATAATATCGCGATCTGTAATTGATCATCGTATGTTTAACCTTATCATGATGTGGAATTTCTAAATTGTAAAAATGTATATCAAGATTTGTAACATGTATGTTGTGTAACTTGCAAATAAAGAGGAAGAAATGTTAAAAATTTCATTTTTCCACTGTTTCGAGGAGTCTCGCCCGTGGACTATACAGTTATGTCAATTTTTGTAGAATTTTCTACCAAATCTCAAAGTATAGGTATATATTTTCTAAGTATCTGTCATCCCTCCAGGATATAAATATCCGTGCCTTGTTTTTCATATAATTTTCTTTCTCTGTTAAAGGTTTTTATTATTTCAATCCTTCACAAATTTTTATAGTCTGAGTAACATCAAACTTTTCCTGTTTATAGAGGTGTAGAATATTGACCTTAATCTCTTTACTGCATGTTTCTACAGATAGTTTTGTGACTGTTGTTGAAAGTTTCACTTCAAAATGTGATGCTTAAATGAACTAAAACTTCATCTTTATGATCTATCCAGGATGTTCTTTTATAGCAAGCTTTACTTTGTATTTCTGCGTTATTGTAATCTTTATGTTCTTTCCAACAATAACACAGAAATACAAAGTAAAGCTCACTATAAAAGAACATAAAGATTACAATAACAGAGAAAACTCACTGAAGAACAGCCTGGGTGATAAAGAGATCTGCTTCGCTAGGATAACCCTTGTTGACGTGGTACTCAACCAGCATGGAAGCACATCCATCACCATCTGATGAATGAATGAAGTGGTAACGAGATTGTGCATAGTTTTTTTCTGTAAGAAATGTGCTTGAAATTAAAACAAATCAGGCCACACTATAAGCAAGAGTTCTGTTAAGTATCCACTTTTCAACTTGTCAAATTCTATTAAAAGTAAATAAAAAACTTGCACGAGAAATCTGAAAAAATGCTTCTATTTTTATCTTAACTAGATGTTTCTATCTAGTATTACTGTAACTTGTAGTTTGGATAGTGTTTGTAATTTGTTCTGGCATCTAAACAAACAATTTTAATTTTACTTCTGGCTGCAAAAAAACAACAACAACAGATGTATTCTGGACTAGCAGTTGTATTTATTAATTCCACTTATTGAATCTATAGTTTACAAACATGTTTTACATGCATTACCAAATCCAAACTTTTCTCAGGAAATATAAACAGACAAAATAGGGTTAAAAAGATACAATCCACCATGAGACCCAAAGTTGCATCATAAAAAACCAATAGCCAATGAGAAAAGAATTATGGACTTCTACAGTTAAAAAGTTTTACCGTATCGTTTAACGCTACAGCGAGCATCACATGCACGCCAATAACCATATCTACACCGTGTTAACATGTGAAAACTTCTAACAGTCTACACTAAAGTCTTGCTGGAGCACAAGCAACAAAAGTTATTTTCACAAATTTTCTTTTGTTGTAGAAAGGTTTATGTTGTACTTACCTTTCCATAGTGTCAAGGCTATGTGTTGATGTAGGTAAGGGTGACCTCTACGATGGGCATCTTCACCTCGAGATGACCACTTTAAGGCTGCAGTGAGAAATTTAAATCTCTCGGGGGACTCTGGCAGCATGAGTGCAAAAAGTCTTCCTAACTTATCTACATATTGATAAAAGATCTAGTAAGGCATAAAAAATGTTCAT